ATTCATTGCCTCTCTCACTAGCTGATGTACATAAAATATGTGTACTTACAACATAAAAGTTATTAATGAAGGTGGATACCCCCCGACAGAAAAACGCATAAAATATTTTGTGGAGTTCCAGATTATAAGGTACTTAATTGCACCAAGCTCAGCTATTCTAATTGCTCCTAGGAGCGTCCTATTATGTAACTGACAACAGCCAATTCGAACGAATGTGTCAACCACTTAAGTGTGCGGTTGTGGTCACCAAATATGGCGGCCAGAGGTTTCATTAGAATGATTCTTGTCTAAGTGATATCATAGCTTATCATTTTCCAAAGGCAATATTTACACGTCACTTTGAGTCGTATATGTCCCGTAAAGCAACCCTTCATATGCTGTCCACTTTACTGGTAGGCGACCCTACACAAAGCAAAACACAGCAATGGTTACTTAAGAATTACAAAAAATTATAAATTAATTATTACAGAATCAAGGAAGAATTATAGAAGAGAATTAAAGTCCTGCTGGTGTTTAGTAATTGGTACTTGACAATGATTCCTATAAGGCTACACATTAATTTTGGAAAACCTTCAGCCGATTTCAGTTAAGAGAAAACTAAAGTATTGGCTATTTAAACTTCTAATAAGTATTGCCTGTGCTCTTTCTATTTCATAGGCTTTTAAAACCTTCCTCACCCCGCTACGCCTGGTGTAGATATCATCCTGGCCAACATTCCTAGCCATTCCAAAATCTGTCACTTTACAGCCTTCTCCTTCACCAACAAGAACATTTCTGGCCGCTAAGTCACGATGAATGATCTAAGCAGAAACTACAAGATTACTTACTTATCCGTTATTCACTCCTTTAAGAGTACCAAAAATAATGAGTTGGGCCTGGCTTTTTATCGCAACACGAAATAAAAAAAAAGTTGGGAAGATGGCTTAGTGACCAGGCATCTTATACTTAAGAGGCAAACTGTCTCTCACGGAGTTCCTCCGCAATCACCACATTACAACTCGATGACAAATTCATTTACTCGTAAGTTGTGGAGGGTGCGACTGGACTTTTCTGTTTCCCATATCTGAAAACCCACATAAAAGGCAGCTATAGTGGGATTTACAATTGCTGTTTATAAAACGCAGCCTACACAGTTTTTTCCTCACCTTCTTTGAAGATAGGTATTTCATTCCATCCGCAATCTGCCACGCAAATCGCACCAGTTGTTCTGAGGTAAGGTTCGTCTCAGGTTTAACATCCGGGTCTTTAAAATATGTGTCATTTAGGCCACGACTCTTTCTCAGGTAACCCAACAGATCACCATAAGGTATGTGCTCAATCAAAACAAGTAAAGGATCTACAAAGAAAAGGTGTAGTGTACCCTTATTTATTCATCTTTTTAAACGTGAGCTTATTTTTTAGTTTCTTTTTCCAGATCCATGTCAGTATCTGAGTAGCTGTGCACCCATCCCTCTCCTAACCCAACAACAGTCAACTGATAACAAGTTAAGATTAATTTTGGGTTAGGGAGGGGTAGGTGCACAGTTGTTCAAATACTGGCATAGACCCCATGTTTCTTACCAGAGTTGGTGATGCATCCCATCAGTTTAATAACATGAGGATGGGGCTTTAGTTTCTTCATTAATTCAAGCTCTGACAGGAGATCCTTTCTGTCTGATTCTGGAGCATTTTCTTCACAAAAAGACGCAAAGTATTCTACGATCACTGCTTAGCAATAGATAACAGCAGAAAGAAATTGCAAAATCTATTTTTTTTTTCAATTACTTTTATGGCTGCTATACTTTAAAAAAACTAATCAATCACTGCACTTTGGAATTCTTTGCATGATTCTAAAACCGGCGTGGATACTACGTTGGAGAATGGCTACTTTTTTTCTGAAACAACTTGAGCGGCAACAATAAGTAGAATAATGAAAGATAAGAATCGTTTAAATAGCCGTGCCTCAAATTGCACTGCGAAAAAGCACGACAAACACACACCTTGGGAAAAAAATGACTTTATAACATCAATTTGAAATCACTAGTGATCCTTCCAATCTGATTTTCTCTCATTGGTGCGATTTATTCACGAATTACACCATTTTAGTTCTAAATCGCATCTTTTTCCTAGCCAATGAGAAACCTTTACTAATACACAACCATCAATCAGATTTCAAGGCTTGTTTAAAGTAACCGATCAAGTTAAAGGAAAATGAAAGACAAATTTTCACCAACCAGCTCAGTACTGGGTCAATAAAATCTTCATAAGTGCTAAAAAATCATGTGTTTGGTGGATTCAATAATAGAGTGCCAATTGAATTTCGTGTTGTGCAAGTTTAGTCTGAAATTATGTGATTTCAAATGAAACTGGCACTGACCT